AACATCCAAACATTGCTAAATCCAAATCATTGTCGCATTCATATAGCTCGGTAAAGAGGTCTGGGAACAAATCACAAGAATAGGAAGCTGCCTGCGGCCGCAATTATAACCCGGCGGATATAAGTCGGTTTATGTACACAAGCCCATCAGAAAATGTTCACGGACGAGATTTAGGCTGAAATAATGCGAGGGACAAAATTGCTGCAATGTGCATGAATGAAAGGGGGGATGGAATCGATTTTCGCAAAATAAATAGTGCAACAGTTGATATATATGCTTGTGATGTTACTCTGGGTGTATATCCACACCGGGCAGGCTTGAAAAATATGCCTGGCCACGGTGGGATCTGATTCACCTGAATACATTACACCAACACAGAAAATACAATTAGTTGCTATATACTTTCAAAAAAATATTGACATTCTACGTCTATATTGTTCTCAGTGTTTTTCATGAGAATGAACTACACGGTTTTACCAAGAGTTTGCCAACATTTTTTCAACTGCAGGTATACACGGGATACAATTCACGGGATTCAGTTCTACAGGTGTGAATACTTTTACATGATGGCAAACGGCCTATAATAATAATGAAATACGTAATATGTATGGAGTGAATTTGCCTATAAACAGAGTTCAATGCAATGCTTTTATGAAATATGAACATGCAAACGTGAATTAGTTGTGATTGTTGGCTATGCAATTGGTCGTACTTTCATTTCACTTGTCTTTACATTCCCTGTAAATGCAGACCAGGCAACTCCAGCAGGATATTCACCATTCAAGTTTGAGTGATAACAACTGTCGTACCACCAAGCACCCTTGTGGATTTGAGAACATTGACCTGAATATAAGTCATTATCGACATCTTTAGTCGAGAATTTCATCCCATTATGGTAGCTCATTGAATCTTTTGCGTTGCCTGTGAATTGAATGCATGATTTCAAGTGGAATCAGTTCTAGTTGAAGCCGGGTGCACCGTTGATCTCAAAACTGGATAAAGAAACCTTTTGAATTCAGGGAATTTATTTCGAAGCCAGAGTATTTGTCGTTATAAATCGAGATTTTAAAAATCTGTCACATTCTTCACGAACCAAATCATTACGTGTTTAAGGGCCGTTTAATACCTCGAATTTCGGTCGCGTCGAATGCAATTCAAATAATAGATAATGAATCTTAATGAGGTGTATCATCTATTTATCTATATATTGTCTTAATTGCGTTCAACGCGACCAAAATTCGACGTATAAAACAGGCCTCAAATAGTTATACTATCAAGCAAATATCTCCTTCTACATACCCTGAAATTCTAATGAGTTTTAATTTGTTTTAAACACGAGATAATGAGACTCGTCACACCAATACGGCCGCCATTACTTCATTTATGCAGAGCAGTCACTTCACGTCAGTCCGGTTCTATCTATCTATTCATAATGTAACCAGTCACTGAAAAGCCCTGATAGGGAGTGTGCTGTGAAATATGTGTATCTGTATAATTAACCTTATAAGTACTCGCTTGGGATTACAACAAATATAGCATAAAAAATTATATCAATAATCTATCCAGCCCTAATTTTGAGATCAATGGGGCGCAAACATTACGATTTGAAAATGAGGAACAGTCATTGATACGAACTGTAGGCTCAGTATCCTTGCTCCCCTGTATTGGCTTCGTTACCGTATTTTCTCTACTTATCCCCCAGCCTCTATTTGCCCCATTCTTTATTAATACACTCTTTCGATAATTACGTCACAACAACACTGTATTCAACTTAGGACCACCTTGAATGGAAAGGATTTCAAAAGGATTTCTCATGGGCTATGCACAGAGTAGCATATCCTTCTTCAACACATGCATGAAAAACATTTTGAGTTTGGATCAATAAATATGGAAATAAGCATTAACACGAAAACGAGGCTCCAGGTCATGATCTGGAGCCTCGTTTTCGTGTTAAATCTTATTTCCACATTTATTGGTCAAAATAAAGAACTATTATTCATGCATGTGTTGAAGAATGATGTTCTGCTTCTCTGTGCATAGCCCATGAGAAGAAAAAAAACTTGAAATCCTTTCCATTTAAGGTGGTCGTAAGTTGAAAACAGTGTAGTTGTGGCGTAATTATCGAAAGAGTGTATTGCATCTCGGTATAAACCAGAAATCGTGGACATAACTGTTTGAGACTATTTCCCCCCACCCCCCACCCCCCCACCCCTATACAAAATTCCATATTCTTATGATAAATTCCATGTTGAATCATGTTGCGATTCAAAAGAAATAATACATGCATACGTCGCCAAATAAGGCGTTAACACGAACGGGACAAACTCCCTACAAGGTGATTTTAGACTGAACGAAACAGTTAAAGGACAACATTCCTGTAGGGGTTTTATCTCCCATTACCGTATTACCTCCCATGGGGGTAAGCACCTCATTATACCCCTGTACTTGCCCTGTGAAAGATCTATGGCACGTTCTATATTGAAAATATTTTTACCTGTGTATTGACCAATACTCAAAATATAACCCTCGTTTTCATTTCCAACAGTAAATGTTCCAAAAGTAGCATATCTTGCCTGGTTTTGAATATTTTCAAGATCAACTCGTAATACATTCTGTCCATTCGCTGACAAACGGTGAATTTTGTCTAAACCTAGCCAGAATTCACCAGTCAACTTTCCAAATCCATTTTTGTAATCAGCCCAGTCTCTGTAAAAATCCACAGAACCATCTACACGTCTCTGGAATATGGTCCAGCCCCTCCCTGGAGTGGAAGTCATGTCACATCTCACTTGGAAATCTCCTTGTCCGTCCGGGTCGATTGTATAAACACCTGTGGTTGTTTTGCCTGATTTGTATAAAGCATCACAACTTTTTGCTAGAGGAACGAGAAACGCAAAAGATAAAAATTAACATTCTAAGGATGTAGAAAATACTCGCACATTTACTATCTAACGGCAACTGGCTATTGTCACCAAAAAATCCGCCGCTCAGAATTTCGCTCCGGGGGAGGAATTTCTTAGGAATATCGTGCCCGTTTAGGATTTTCGCTCTCCCTTACAATAGCGAGCAATAAAGTTGAAATCATTGGCATTGCAATTCATAAATACCTGGCAAGAGCACTAAGGGGAGATGGTTAATCGACAAACCGGAAAAATCGATGTTTTTTGAAAACAGATTCAACCGATGTGGTTCTGGGCAAAAACGCTAAAAAACCCGGAAGAGAATCGGAAAAAAACTGTTTGAAACTCAGTAATATTGAAACAAAACGGCACTTCGTCAAAATCACGGCGCTAGTTCAACTTTCAAACATGAGAAAATAGCACACGGCACACCTATAACGGTGGCTTGCTGCTTACATATTAATAAAGCAGCACTATACCATTAATACAATTGTTTTTAAAGTCTTGAACGTGTAGCGTGAAGTTTAATCTGCCTGGAGTATATTTTGACATAAGTTACAAAAATCAGTTTTTCCGGGGCTTTTTCCGGTCGTTTTTCGGTTTTTACCGTTTGGTAAAAATTTCATATGTTTATATAAGTGTTAACCTAACCATAAAGAGCGCATCCGTTTTAGTCATTCGAACAGGCAATTTCAGCTTTTAGTTTATGCGTGCAGGGGGTGATGGGAAGTAAGGTGTCATATTGCTGATAACGTTGAAAAAATAAAAATGGCGGCCGGCAAGTAAACACGGAGTGATAGCTTATACTTGTCAATATTGAAATATTTCGGTTGTTTCGGCAGTTTTATTGAAATATTTCAGCATAATCAGCAATATGATACCTTACTTTCCGTCCCCCCTGCAGGCATAAATTAAAAGCTGGAATTGCCTATTGGAACAAGTATTACAACTGCAGTTTCTCACGAATTGACCGTTTCAAAACCCTCCTCTGGTAAACGAAATATAATTTGTAGGTATATAGATACGTCACGACTAAGGAACATATAGCCTTACTGATTTCAGTTTATATAGAGGATATTACACGGCGGCGCGAAGATATGACTTTTTGTCTTCGAGTGGTGAAAACAATATTTTACGAACGAGCGCAGTAAGTGAGTAAAATATTGTTTTTAACACGAAAAGATAAAAGTCATATCTTCAAACCAACGTGTAATGTTCTGTTTATTATATAGTCTCAAGCAAAAAATTGTATAAATACTAAAAGTCACGTGATCGATATACTCACTAGTGAAGATATGGAAAAAATGTCACTGCGTATTTTTCAGTATCTCACTCTCTACTAAACCTCCGAATATAAGCCCAGGGCTCATATTCGTTCGTAAGCATTTTTCATGGGCTTATACATGTGGTTATCGCCACTCGTTTGAGTGTTAGTGAATATGGTGGACTTATTTATATTCGGGGAAGGCAAAATTCGTTTTAATTTACCTTGTTTCACTGGACCATTCTTCTCATTTGTCTGTTTTTCCTGCAATAATAGCAAGAACATAATTTTATTGCTGTATCTACCAAGATGATTTTGAAAATTTGAATTAATCCGCTAGGCTACTTTTCGTGTATTAGCAGTTTCGTTGGTGGGTACTAACAGGCTTTCGTCAGGGATGGATCCAGCATGATCTGGTAAGATGGGTGCTCTGCCAGCCTGGTGCCAAGGTGTGTCGGCTCCCCATATTTGAACAAATTGTACCCTTGTTCATGCCTCGTTTATCATCTTGTTAGTGCTCAAATTGGAATTTCTTTTTTGTCAAAATTATTTTTTGCTTTATCATGAAAATAGCCCTTTCACTCCGCCCTGCATGTCAACAATTATCACCAACGGCAAACAGAAAAATTGAACTTTGACACTAACTATATAACAAAATCTCTTGATTACCTTGATTAATGGTTCGTAATAGTCGTAATCAATATTAACCATCAAATTCTGAGGTTGGATCAATTTTGTGGCGTTATTTAGCTGACATTTTTTGGAAGAATCTTGATTGTGTCTCGATTTGTAATTAATTGATTTGCAGACAGAGCTTTCTCTCACACAGTATTGCGCACATTCTGTGACGCTTGCTGTTTTGTGTTGGCTGAATACATGCTTAGTGAGGTGGTGACCTAGAAAGAGCAGAAACAGGTGAATAAAACAACGCTTGAATACACCGTTCCGGAAAGTACGTCACTTTGGCGCCTTAGAGCTCGTTTTTGTGTACACCATAATTATTAGTTTTTATTATATAAAGTATATAGTGCTTTATAGAGATTTCAAAAACTCATTAATAATTCAGGAGCAAAACACAAAGAAAAACCATAAGCGTGTCGTGGTTTTATATGTGATAAAAAATCACGTTAATTTACATAAACTTCAGCTTTGATTTTCTCGGTTTAGACAAAGTTTATTTTAAATTAATTACTTCGTCAATGAACTCGTAAAAGATCAGTCGTTTTTGAAGCCATTTAAAGCACTTGTAGTCGTGTTTTATCACATATAAAACACTCCGCTACGCGTCGTGTTTTATATGTGATAAAACACTCCTACGCGTGCTTTAAATAGTACTTCGAGCACTGACAAAACTGATAATCTCACATGTGAGATTATTTATGATAATTTCACACGTGAAAATTATCGCTTTTCAATTATCGCTTTTCTGTAAAAATTATCGCTTTTCAAAGACTGCCCTTTACATAATAAACAGAAAAATACATGGGTGCTTGGAAATATCAGATTTATTTCTCGTGTTGAAGAAATAAATGCAGTATTTCCGCGGACCATGCATTATTCTCTATTTAAAGCGTAACATCTCAATGACGAAAACGAGGCTCTATAGGTAAGGTGACGTGCTTTCCGGAAGCGTGTATTGGGAGTTGAAAGAAGGGCGGTGTCTTCTCTTACAGCCCTTTACCATGGTATATATGTTGATTAAAGACTTCAGACTACGTTCACACTACGCCGCGCGGAGCGTTTCGAAAACGGCGCAAGAAAAGTCAGAATTAGCGGTCGTGTTCACGCTACACTTGTTCACACTAGACTACAAAACGTCATTTTTTGAAATTGTTTGCAAACATCATTTTTTATTGAGCACGGTTTCTAATTAAAACTATAATTAAAACGGAGCGCTTAGAGGCTTCGTGTGAACACAAATGGCGTTTCTTTTTTTGGCCAGTAACTCCAGATGAAGGGCATTCGCTCGAAACGTCGAAATTCTCGTTATACTTTTCAGATAGTCGAACCACTACCAACGAAAGCTGTTACTCTTTTGTACCGCTCGCATCTCATGCAGGTTTCAAAACAGTAAAGTCGAATGCCTTTCGTTGCTTTGCTCTATTTCAAATTAAATGCATGGGTTAACCAAGACTACGTGCGATCACACAGGAAAGAACACATAATTATTATTATAGAATGTTTTAAGAGGATGTACATTGAGACGTCCTAACGGACGCCTGGAGTCGAAATAAAATCGAAAAAAGTCCGACCAAATAATTATGAACATTTTCGACCAAATTCCATTTTCATCGGACATCTTTTCCGGATAATTTTTGAACATTATTTCAAGCTCTGTATAAAAATAAACAACATGCAAAGATTTGCCCATCCTGCCCGATAACATACCTGACGCAGACACGAAGAACAAGACGCCAGATTGTTG